CAAGTCTGCTTTGTCCTAACTTTTGCTGGACTAGAAAATGGAATTCTAGTAATGATGGCTTATGATAGATTTGTGGCTATTTGTCACCCACTGAGGTACACAACCATCATGAACCCAAAACTTTGTGGGCTGTCCGTTGTGTTGTCCTTCCTCATTAGTGTTCTGGATGGCCTGCTCCACACAATGATGGCACTGCGACTGTCTTTCTGCACAAATATGCAAATTCCCCACTTCTTTTGTGAATTAGCTCATATTCTCAAGCTTGCCTGCTCTGATATTCTCATCAATAACATCTTGGTCTATGTAGTGACCAGTCTTTTGGGTGTTGTTCCTCTTTCTGGAATAATTTTCTCTTATACTCAGATTGTATCCTCTGTCCTGAAAATTCCATCAGTTGGTGGAAAGTATAAGGCTTTTTCCATTTGTGGATCACACTTAATAGTTGTTTCCTTATTCTATGGGACAGGTTTTGGGGTGTACCTTAGTTCTGAAGGAACTCACTCCTCTAAGAAGAGTGCAATTGCCTCCATAATGTATACTGTGGTCACCCCTCTGATGAACCCCTTTATCTATAGTCTGAGGAACAAGGACATGATGGGGGCTTTGAAGAAGCTCATCTCTAGAATACTTTCTTTCCATTGATGGTACTTTAACCTACAACTGTTGGAACATGCCAGAGAGAAATAAATACTGAGTGAATCAGAGATCCTGACCAAGTTCTTTTTAGAACAGGAGAGCAGGGATCATGATGGTTAATGTCTAGAACTTTGTAATAAAATCATCTTGGTTTGAATCCTATCTCATAGTATTGTGGTCATTTGAAAATATATCTGAATTCCCTAAGCTCTGTATTGTTATCTAATAAACTGGCATAATTACATTATCTCACTATTTAGGAAGTTTAGGAAAGATTTGAGATACTTCAACTTTATCTGTGAGAATACCTTTAGTTGTTATAAGGAAAAGGATTCAACAAAGGTAGAGACAAAAATAAATATATGTATCTTTTCTAACAAAAAATTCAAATAGGATGAATTCAGGCACTGAATCACAGGGCAGATTTTTACTCTTCATGTACTGGCATCCTTTTAAAGTTTTTCCCTTAATGGTTGTCAATGACTACAACAGTGTATGTGTTATTTCCAAACACAATAACCAAGGAAAATGATTGCTTCTCCTTAATGTAATTTAATGGTGAAATGGTATTTTCAATGCTTCACCTGTTACCTGAAAGGTTGGTGGGTCAAATTCATGAGTCACTCCTCAGAAACTCTTATGTGGTTGTTAGGAGTCAGAACCAACTGGACAGCAGTTAGAAACAACAATGGCTAATGCATCTGAGTTAGGGTGTTG